GCAGCAGGTGCCATGGGACATGGTTGGATATAGAGAATCCTAAAGAATTCACTAAACAAAATTTATTTCAAACTAATGAGTTCAGCCAGGTTGCAAAACACAAGGTTGAAAAGCAAAATTCGATTATTTTTCTATACTCTTATAATGAACAGCCCTAAAATGAACTTAAAACAATTCTACTTTAAAGAAAATCAAAGAATAAAATAGCTAGAATTAAAGAAAAGAGTGCAAAACTTATATTCTAAAAACTAAAGATCATTGCTGAAAGAAATAAAGATCTAAAAATCTAATAAATACATGGATCAATATTCCATATTCATGGGTCAGAAGACTTCCTAGGTTACAGTGGTAGTCCTTACCAAACTGATCTACAGATTAAATGAAATTCCCATTAGATACCAACTGGCTGTCTTGTAGAATAGCCATGTGAATCCTAAAACTTATATGGAAAATTTAAAAACCCTGAATAGCTCTGAAAAAATAAAAACTTGAAAAAAAATTTAAGGAATCATACCTCCATGATTTCAGAACTTACTAAAAACCTACTGGTAATTTAAACAGTGTGATACTGTCATGAGGGTAGACATAGACCACTGAATAACTTGGGAGGCTGAGGCAAGAGGATTACAAGTTCAAGGTCATCCTAGGCAACTTAGCAAGACTTTGTCTCAAAACTAAAAAAATAATGTAAAAGGCAAGGGGACTTGGGATGTAGCTCAGTGGCAGAGTGCTTGCCTAGCATGTATAAGACCCCAGGTTTGATTCCCTGTACCTATAAAATTACATTAAACATCCAGAAATAAATCCATGTGTCTGTGGACAAATGATTGTTGACAAGCATGACAAGATTATTCAATAAGAAAGTCTTTTCAACAGCTGGTTCTGGGACAAGTTGATATATAGTCACATGCAAAGGAAAGAAAATGAAGTTCAACCCTTATTAACTAACACATATGCAGAAATTAATTCAAAGTGGATCAAAACCTAAATGTGTAAGAATCAAAACTATAAAACTTATAGAAGGAAACAGGAAAATCTTCCTGACTCCGAATTTGGTAGTGAGTTTTTAAGTAAAACATCAAAACAAGAACAGGACAAAAAAAAAAAAAAACAGATAAATTAGACTTCATTAAAACTGAAAGTGTTTATGCTTCCAAGGAAATTATCAAGCAAATGAAAATATAACCCATAGAATTAAAAACTGTGAATTATGTATCTAACAAAGGACTTGCATCTACAATATATTAAAGACACTTCCAACTCAAAAATCAAAAGACAAACAATTCAACTTAAAAATGTGCAAAGCGGGCTGGGGTTGTAGCTCAGTGGTAGAATGTGTGCCTAGCTTTCATGAGACACTGGGTTCAATCCTTGGCACCACATAATAATAAATAAAATAAAGGTATTGTGTTTATCTACAACTTAAAAGTTTTAAACGTGCAGAGGTTCCGATAAAACATTTCTCCAGAGAAGATAAACAAATGGCCAATAAACACATGAAAACATGTTCAACATCTTTAGTCATCAGAGAAATACAAATTAATACAACATTAAGATACAACTTTAAATCAGCTAAGTGACTAGAATCAAAAAGCCAGATAACAAATGTTGGTAAGGATGTAGAGAAACTGGAAGAGGTTGGCATTGCCTCAGAAAGTCAGAGCTAAAGTCAGAGACTCAGCATTTCTATTACTAGGTCTACCCAAGAGAAGTGAAAACATATGCCCAAAGAAAAAACTGCATACAAATGTTAATAGCATTATTTGTAATAGCCAAAACATGGAAAAATCCAAATTTCCATCAACACATGAATGAATAAACAAATGTGGTTTGTCGCATGATGGAATATTAACTGGCCATAAAAAGAAATGAAGTACTGATACATGCTACAAGACAAGAGAACCTTGAAAACACCATGCTAAGATAAGCCAGACACAAAGGTACAAATGTAATTCCATCTGTATGAAATGTCAAGAATAGGCAAACATAGAAACAGAAAATGGCACCTATGCCAGCCCCTCACTCAATGGTAGTACTTTTTTCCCCATTGTTTCCCTTCCCCAATGAAATTATTTTTATCAGTGTCCTATTAAAGATTAAGCCTCTCATTCCAAAGGAAGAGTGGGTGGATTGTCTGGGTAGAGTTTTGGTGGAGGTTGCTGTTACTCTCCCCAAGCCAGCACCACAAAAACTTTCCCAGTATGTATAATTATAAGGGAATTTCTTAGACTGCATCATGATCAGAGGCTGAATCATGGCCACAGTGGCCACCTGCAGACAGGAGAGTGGAAACCAGTAGCTACTCAGTCCAGGAAACTGGAAGCCTCAGACAAGAGAGCTCAGTGATACAGCTCCAATCCAAGACTCAAGGCCCAGAATGCCCTGGAGAGTCACTGATGCCCTAAGAAATCTGGAGTGTGATGTCCATGATTGAGGGGGTAGCTGCAATAAAAGCAGCACTTAAGAAGAGTCAGCTGCAGGCCAGAACAAGCTTCCCCATTCTGCTTCTGTTCTATCCAGGCCCCCTGCCTACTGCACAGTGCCACCCACATTTGGGTGAGTCTTCCCACCCAGTTTGCTGACTTACATGCTGATCATCTGTGAAGCACCCTCACAGGCACACCAAAAGTGTGCCTTACCATTCTCTAGGATCTCTCAATCCGGTCACGTTGACAACCAAAATTACACCTGGGCAAAAAGGTCATTTCTAGGATATAGAAAGTATTTCCACAAGGAATAAGTAAAAGGCAACCCTTCAGGAAATTGGGCAAGAGAGTCTAATAGGCACATAATAAAAATGATATCCAAATGTCCAATAAACATGAAACAGTGGTACTCAATCTTATTATGAAGTGGTGTCTCATTGTGTTTTTAATTTACATTTACCTGATTGTTAGTAAGGCGGAGTATTGTTCCATAGGCATATTAGAAGGTTAAATTTCACATATACTAAGCAATAGTGATTATGTAGAGCAAATAGAACTTTCATCATCTGATGGCAGATGTATAAATTAAGATGAACAATTTGGATGACAGCTTAGCATTATTTGCTGAAGTTGAAGATATACATACTTCTACTTAGAATTTTTACTCCCAAGTATATACGCCAAAGAATTATGAGCACAGGTACTCCAAGGAATATATATATAAAAAGCTGTTCATAGCACCACTGTTCATTAGCCCTAACTGAAACAACCCAGTCAAGTAAAAATGATAATATTATAGCATACTTAGACAATAACATATAGCAAAGAAAATGGACAATATATAGCAAATTGCCACAATGTGGATAGATTTCATAAATATCATCATGGAAGAAGGCACAGAAGAATAGTATGGGGTTTGACTTATGTTAAGTTCAAAAGTAGAAAAAACTATAGTTTTATATCTAAACTACATTGCACACATGAATATATATGAACACTTGGGTGGTAAAACTATAAAGGAAAATAAGGAAGTAAATGCATTATTGAAAAGCTAAAAGGGGACAGAAAGACGAGTGGTAGGAAGGGGACATGAGTGAGACACCTGCATACTGGCAATGCAATATTTCTTAACCAATATGTTATTTCCTTTGTGATAAATCAGTGAGCGGTATTTCTTTGTTTTGCTTTTCATAAATGTAATTCCTAGTAAATGTTTCGTTTACATATTTGAGTTCTTTCTCACCATGTAAGCAATGAATAGAAGTATATTTTGGTAGATTTTTTAAATAGGCACAAATAATTGGCAAAAATGTTAATATATCATTGGAACAGAATAAAAAGTTTAGAAATAGACCAACACAATTTTGATTAAATGGTTTTTAATAAAAGCACCAAAGCAATCTAATGGGGTCAAGAAATGTCTTTTCAAGAATTGGTGCCATAACCCAAAGTCAAAGAGACTACAAGAACTCTACAGGCCAATAATAATATTGATGCAAAATCCTTGGAAAAATACTAACAAATTAGTCAACAACACATCAAAAAAGATTATATACCATGACAGTATTTTCCCAAAAGATCTAAAATCAGCATACTACAGCGACACAACCACATCAATGTTTATAGCAGTACAATTCATAATAGCTAAATTATGGAATCAACCCAGATGTCCAGATTAGTGGATTAAGAAGCTGTAGTATATATATAAAATGGAATTCTACTCAGCCATAAAAAGGAATTGAATTATGGAATTTGTCAGTAAATGGATAGAAATGGAAGAATATCATGCTAAACGAAATTAGCCAAACTCAGAAACTCAAAGATCAAATATTTTCTCTCATAGGAAGAAGCTAGAGTAAAAGAAGGCAGGATAGGATAACATATAGGACTAATCAATACAAATTATAGACAAGTAAAAGGAAGTCTAGTAGAGTAGAAGAAAGAGAATAGGAGAGGGGAGAGGACAAAAGGGATAAGGAGGATCATGAATTGAAATTGACTTCCATGCATGTATGAGTTTGTCAGGATGAACTCACTACTATGTATAATTGAAAAGCTCTAATAAAAAATAAAAAGAGTATATACTAAAAAAACAGAATTGGTTCTATAACAACTTAATATCCATGTAGAAAAAAATCCTGACCCAAATTTACTTAATGTACAAAAAAAAATCTGTAATACGTTCATAAGCTTAGAGGACACCATTATCAACCAAGAGGCTTAGAGTGCAGGGACAGGAAGAATAAGAGGTGGAACAAGACTCTTAGAGGGGAATAGAATGGTATCAAGGGCTCAAGATAAACAGAAATTGTAGTATAAAATCCATAACAAGTACAAAATAATCCTGATCTACTCAATAATTTAGAACAAGGTATAAATAAAATGTCATGAGTTTTGTTATAGTGTTACAATGTTTATTGTTACCTCCTTTGAACCCTTGGTAATATCTACCCCTTAATAAAATGCTTCATTTTAGCCTATATGTATATATATATATCAATTAATAATCTGAAAATATAATTTGCCCACTTTATTTTGAAGTAATATTCAAAGAGTGCCCTCTCTTTCTTCCAGATTGGACTCCTTTTTATCCTGAGCCAGTATATATCCCAACAGGTCTAGAAATGGAACCCCTTTATTCAAGCTCCAAGGAAGACACTGTGGTTTATCTGGCTGAAGATGGTAAGTGCATAATGAAACACATTGCTGTGATATATAATTGGACACCTTGGTTAATGTCTTAGTTATATTTGTTCTGCTGTTAATAGTAGAAATTTCAGATTGCTATAAAGTCCCTGTCCCCATAATATTGGTTGAAATATTTGATTCAATTATCAATTTATACTAATTATATTTTTGAAGAAGTGCTAGTTTATGCAGCTACTTTAAAATAAGGCTTCATGTTGAACATTAGAACAGAAAGTTATATTTAGAATGAATTCTGCCTCATGTAAGTTTTCAAAGATAAATCTAGTGTGCTCTGCAACTATTGTTCACTGGCCATCTATGGCTCACATTCATGCAATCATTCAGATGGGTTTCTTTTAATTGCACACCTGTTCAATGCATTTCTTAGTGTTATCATATTTGAAAAAGAAGAAAACACCCCATATTGCAAATAATATCCACGACTATATCTCAGGATATCATTCACAATCAATATTTACACTTTGAGATCTATCAGTGCAAAATCCGTCTGCTTTTATGATAAGAGAGTGTTAATAATCAAACACAGAAGTCTCATCCCATATTCTAAACTGTACTGTTCCTGAAGCACTAAAGTGAGGAATGATGGGGTTCCTAAACAATTTCACCATTGCTGTTTGATATCTTAGTGATGTATTTTTAAAATATTAACAAGATGAAGAGAAATTCACAGGGGCCATTTCCTATATAGTAAGTAAATCTAGAAATCATGATTACATTCATATTTTTAAATAACTGGAATGAGAGAAGTACTTCAGATTTTTAAAAATTTGATTTCAAATCTTAACATGGCTAACCTGCCTTAGAAACAGAAATTATAGTATAAAATCCATAACAAGTACAAAATACTCCTGATCTACTCAATAATTTAGAACAAGGTATAAATAAAATGTCATGAGTCTTGTTATAGTGTTAACAATGTTCATTGTTATCTCCTTTGAACCCTTGGTAATATCCATACATAACTGAAATAAGATCCAATAGGCAAGTCAGTGAAGGGTATCTCCAGGAATTAGATGGCACATATAGGGTAATGTAAGATAGTTTACTGAAATTTAATGAATTTACAAAAGGGTGGTCAGAATTAAGGGAGATTAAAGGGGGATGGTGAAGCAAGATAGGACTGTCAACAGAGTAGCATCAAAACATCTCCTGGGTCTGAGCACAGAATGGGTAAGAGCACAGAACGGTTTCCAGACCCGTAGAAACCCTTAGCTGTTAGGAGAGGCGGTCCCCAACAACTGTGGCTTGTGCGTGTGTGTGCACGCTTTATAAGGGCATGCACCTATAATCCTAGGCAGAGGCAGGAGGATCATAATTTTGAGGACAGCCTTAGCAATTTAGGGAGACCTTGCCTCAAATTAGAAAATAAAAAGGGCTCAGAATACAGCTCAGTGGTAGAACACCCAGGCAGACTAATTTTTATCTTAATCTTATCCTACCCTTACTTTTGATCATGGTGCTTATACCTAGGGTACAGGCTTTCTGGAGTTACAATTGAATGCCCAGGGTGTTCTAGGAAATATTTCCATCATGAATACATTGGAATTCCAGGGTATTCCTAAACTGTATGCCCCCAGTGGTGCTTCTTCCTTTCTTTCTAAGTCTCACCCTTCCTGTAGCTACACCCTTAGTGAAGGACTGGGGAACCTCTAGACTGCTGAGGCTCTTCCTCTATGTAGCTTTCTTCTCTCTGCCTTACAAATTTCAGCAGCTTCAAAAAAAAAAAAAAAAAAAGCAATCTTACCTCAACGCAACAAAGCTGTCATGTTATTAAGTGCAACCTCCCCCAACTTTGGTCCAGAAAGTACCCCTGTGCATAAAATCAGGGCTAAATATGGGTTCACTCCATATATTTTATTTCTTTTCAGTAACTGTAGTTAGTTCTATTATATGTGTTGTCCAAAGTAATGGAAGGAACTCATATTTCACAGTCATTTACAGTAAAAGTTTCGTAAAGTTCAGGACTAGTTACTCTATCATGAGCAGAAGTGGAATGAATATTTTAATATGATTAATATGTAAATTTAATTTAGGTATTGCTTTTCTATTCTAAGTACTCTTAGAGTCTCTTAACTTCAATCCAAATCTATATAAATTGGTAACAAATAACTTTAGATTTACAATCTTCATATTAGTAGAGGTGTAGTTCCAAACTCTATGTGGAATAGTCGGCATACTTTAGATGTCTCTACTTTTGTCATGTCTTGACATCTCCATGGTCTTCTCTCTTATCAGATTACAAAGAGCCCTGTTTTGTGTATTCCCGAGTTGGGGGCAATCGAACACCCTTGAAGCCACCTGTTGACACCTGTGACAATACTTTGATGTTCGAAGCAAGGTTTGAGAGTGGTAATCTACAGAAGGTAGTCAAAGTGTAGGTTTTAATAATTTTTATTTGAGGGACCAGACCATCAACTATTTATTTTTTGTATTAGGTATACAAAAAAAAGTCCCAACTAACCATGCAATATAAACAATATCCCAGTGAAACATTTTTGTCCTTATTTGACACTTTTCTATAATTGTATTTTATTCTTTAATAATAAAAAGCATTGACTACATAATAGAAATCCCATCTTCTCAGAGTAACACATCCCAATAACATTTGCTTGTAATAAAAGCAGCTTGTTTATACTAAAGGTCAGAATAGAGATTTTTTCTTTATTATTTCTACTTTAAAAAATTAATATTCAGTATACTTCCAACATGAAGATTAATCAAAATATAAATAATTAAATTATAATACAAATAAGCATTAAAATTTTGGAAATTTAGAATATAATTTTATATCTTTTTTCCAGAGTATGTTATTTATAAATACTTATTGAATAAACTGTATTTCATTATGAAACAAATAAAATACTTGCAATCTTACTATTTTAAAAAATAGTTCATATTTTCAAACAAAAAAATAAAATTATACAGTTGTTACATTAAATGTAGAATACTATTTTGGTAAAATTAAACATCTCTTAACAATAACATTTTCTAGGCTGGTGGTGTAGTTCAGTGCTTGCCTAACTTGAGAAAGGACCTGGGTTTGATCCTTAGCAAGTTCTGGAGCCTGGGAAATCCAAAGTCAAAGTGCTTGCAGATTCAGAATCTGATGAAGGCCCACTTCTTCATAGACCATGCCTTCTCCCTGGGCCCTTGTGTAGATACAAGGGCAATTCTCTACCTCCAACTTGGTCCATTCTTCCTGTCTCCAGATTTCAGAGGTTCAGTTCATGGTCCGGCAGCTCCATTGCCCTGGGCTCAAGTGAGGCAGAACATCAAGCCCATGAGTTTGCTGGGAGAGCCTTATTTCACATCATCTTCAGTGACTTAGTTGGGATTCACATAGTTATGAAATGTAGTCCTTGTATTAAAGAAGTTATTGTACTGAAGGAATTCAAATTTTATAACTTACATATGATCAATGAATCTATGTGATATAGTCAGTCTCAATGAAAACCATTTCATATCCCTAGAATTGAAATGTGTCTTACGAACTGGTGTGAACATACTTTATATACAACCAGAAACATGAAAAACTGTGCTCTGTGTAATAAGAATTATAATGCATTCCCCTGTCATTTATCTTTTTAAAAAATCAATTAAAAATAGAAATGTGCCTAAAACAAAGAAGGACATATGGATTTTTCTTATTATCAATACTTCATTAATCATTTATTTTCTAGAAAACAATTACTTGGAAATATATAATTTTTCAAAAGCCTGTGTTTTTATTGTGCTCTCTTGAACACAAAGAAATACAAAGGACTTAGAATTAGCACAGAAGCAGGTTTTCAGCCAATGAAAGAGAAAATTTCAGAATTTTATCTTTTGAAGTTACTCGCTATTGAATACAGCCTAAGTAAACACTGTATCCTGCAAAAAAAAAAAAAATTCTGTGGATATGTAAAACAGATAAAAATAAAATAATTTTCATTTAACTTAAACTCAGATTTAATTTTTACCTTCTAATGTGCTTCCCCCCTTCCTTTCTCATGTATTAGGGCAGAATACGAGTACCAGTTGACTGTGCGCCCTGACCTCTTCACAAACAAGCACACCCAGTGGTATTATTTCCAAGTCTCTAACACCCAAGCAGAAACTGTCTACAGATTCACCATTGTCAACTTCACCAAGCCTGCTAGCCTTTACAATCGGGGCATGCGCCCACTCTTCTATTCTGAAAAAGAGGCCAAGGCTCACAGCGTTGGCTGGCAGAGAATAGGAGACCAGATCAGGTACTACAAGAATAACCTGGGCCAGGAAGGCCGCCACTTCTTCTCCCTCACGTGGACATTCCAGTTTCCCCACAACAAGGACACCTGCTACTTTGCGCACTGCTACCCATACACTTACACCAACCTGCAAGAATACCTTTCTGGCATCAATAATGACCCAGTACGGTCCAAGTTCTGCAAAACCCGCGTCCTGTGCCACACGCTCGCCAGAAACATGGTGTATGTGTTGACCATCACCACGCCCCTGAAGAACTCGGACTCCAGGAAGAGGAAGGCCGTGATTCTGACCGCAAGGGTCCATCCGGGTGAGACCAACAGTTCCTGGATCATGAAAGGCTTCCTAGATTACATTTTAGGAGACTCAAGTGACGCCCAGTTGCTTCGGGACACTTTCATCTTCAAGGTGGTACCCATGCTGAATCCAGATGGTGTCATTGTGGGGAACTACCGGTGCTCCTTAGCTGGGCGCGACCTCAACCGCAATTACACCTCCCTCCTGAAGGACTCTTTTCCTTCTGTTTGGTACACACGGAACATGATCCACAGGTAAAAGAAGCCTCAGATTATCTCTGCTTAATTAGTAAACTTGGTAGCAAGAATTTTGCTCCCACAATCCTATTAATTTTACTTTAATTTTCTTAAGAGACTTTGAAACTATTTTATTTCATCCCCATTCTTCCCAACTGATTTTATAATTTTCTGGCATTATGCCACTGGATTCAAAATCTTTCCCTTAAATTAATGAAATAGAGCCCAGAATGTTTTGATGACTCTGTGAAAATAATAGCTAAATTTGCATATCCCAAATATGGTTGCTTGCTAAAGCTAACAGTAATAGTGATGTTTACAGTGGGATCCTTGAATCCCTTATAAGTGAATAGTAACTACATTTCACAGAGCTGATACTGTGTTGATCATACATTGCTGAATGAGTCTAACTATGAGATTCATAGTTATTTAAACTTGCATGAACGTCATCTTTATTGCCCCTAGGAAAATTGATCAGCTTTAAATTTTCCAAAGAGTCTAGAAGAGTAAAATGTACACAACATTTAATTATTTATTATTTGGGTGAATTCTTTGATGGATTATGGTAACAACAATGAGGAATAGACATGTGCTACAGTAGAGAGATTTATTGGAGTAAGAGAACACCCATTCCTAGTTCAAAGTCTCTTAACTTTTTTGTTTAAGAGCAGGGATTTCAGAATAAGCATATCACATTGAAATCTCTGTTATATCATTTACTAACTATGCAATTTAAAAAAACTAAGTCTCAGTTTTGTCATCTATGAAACAAGAGTGACTACCTCAAAGTTGAGAGAACTAAATGAGAAGATTATTACTAATATGCTCAGAATAGGGACTAGAACATTGAGAGTTCTAATTGCATTCAATGTGATTTGTCAAGTGCAAAAAGAAAAAAGTTAATTGAATGTCCTGGCCTGACACATGATGGATTACATACCATAACCTCTTGGCTTGTCTCTATGGACAAATGTGTCAGTTGTTAGATTGCCTTTGAGGAAGGTTAACAGGCAGAAGTCTATTCAGTGAATTTCGGAAAGATTTCTAAGAAAGAGAAATACCTCAGTGCAATTAATCAAAGGCAGGTAAATAAAATAAGAAATTGGTCCTATATGTGTGCAAAGGTGAACCAGTTGTAAGTAGATCTAAGAGTAAGTATATTTACAGCATATTAGAATAAGAGAGAGTAGATCTGAGTAAAATATAAAATACAGTATCTTAGTTACCTGTGGATAAGAAGAAAATCTAAATTATTCTCTAAAATTATTTTAATTAATATAAGTTAAGATATCTTAATATCCTGTTTTACTTTTGAAGTAATAATATTTCTTTAGGAATAGATTATTTAGAAGTACAGGGGTTTTTTGACTCATGTATAAAAAGCTAAAGAGTCATTAAAATGAGGAATTTGGGGTTTAAAATTGCACAGCATACTTCATATTTAAGTTATTCACTTGATATTCATGCTTATCTAGTTAGTATTCTAAAAACTTATAATGATCTTTCAGTGGCTTTTTGTCAAAGTATGTTATCCATTAGAATTTATTTGGCAACAAATGAGATAAAGGGTAGTTAATAAATATATATATATATATATATATATATATATATATATATAAAAAACAGATTTCAGTTTAAAATTTTATTATAGTTTAAAGAATTGTTTTTATTAAAAGTAATGCTTTAAATAATTTATTTTAGATTTTAATAGTTTTGTTATAAATATATAATTATAATACTACTGCTAACATTTTAGTATTCTTCCATATATAACAACAAATGGTTTAATTTTTATTAATATAATAATGCTATATAAGATCTGAAAATATGAAAAAGAGACAAAAGTGCTCATAACACCACTTTTTTTATTTTTCAAAAGCTTTCTCTGTTAGTCATTTTCATTAGTCAGTTTGAGAGTCTTATTTTTTAAAATATTTATTTTGTAGTTGTAGTTGGACATAATACCTTTATTTTATTTATTTTTATGTGGTGCTGAGGATCAAACCCAGGGCCTCAAACTTGCTAGGCTAGTGCTCTACCACTCAGTCACAACCCCCGCCCAAGAGTCTTATTTTTTATTGTTTTAAAATCATTGAGTGCTAAGTTATGATTGTGGCCTTACAGAATGTATAATAATTTCTTTAAAATATTTATTAGAAATTTATTACCAAATTTTCAATTCAAGGTTGGTACCATTTTTCTCAGAATGATATTTAGCCACCACATTAATTAAGAATTAACTATTATTTGGCTTCAACACCAGGTTCTCAGGCATTCAATTTTTAAGAAATGTTTGGGTATTTATTATGTGCTGTTCTAGAAGATTAAAAGCATTTTCCATCCCTGATGAGTTTAAATATCAAAAATATGGAAACCTTTCTAGACAAGTGCCAAGGAAATGCTACCAATAAAGCACTATAGGAGTTTGAAAAGACAAAAATAGATGGTCTCTGCTAGTCAGGCAGGAAGTGAAACGTGAGAAGGGTTTCTAAGGATGGGGTGGGTAGCAATTACATTTATAAAGATGAAGGGTGAAGACATTCCAGTCTTCCAGAATCAATGTGAAAAGTAATGAGCAAAAACAGGAGTGATCTGTTTTCTGAGTATAACAGAAAACCAGAACAATAGACTAGAACTTGCTGGGAGAAAGTCTTGAGAGTAAGGTTCTTATGAGAGGAGGTCTGAAGCATTCAGATTTTATAGATAATAAACAGGAACTTATTACATTTTTAAAAAATGTATATTAATAATAATATGTGGCATAGGTAAGAAAAGAGAAAAATTGAAAACTTAGGATATAAGAAACTGTATTTATTTGGATTTTACATTTATAAATACAGAATTGTACCCATAGAAGAAAATTCAGAGGTAATATTTAGTAATTTGTTCTTTTTCTTTTTGGTAGGTTGATGGAGAAGCGAGAGGTTATTTTATATTGTGATCTCCATGGACATAGTAGGAAAGAGAACATCTTCATGTATGGCTGTGATGGTAGTGACAGAACTAAAGCATTATACTTACAGCAACGAATCTTCCCATTTATGCTGAGTAAAAATTGTCCAGATAAAGTAAGTATCTTTAAGATTTTAATTTTTATTTTACTAAATATTGCCCATGTAGGACAATCAAATGAAAAATCCTATTCAGTAACCTGCTTTTCGTTAGTCATTTGACTGATTTATATAGCTGACCATTCGAATAACTATGTGGAATTGTTCATGACCAACAGTTTGAAAATATGAGAAGTCAAAAATTCCCATAGTCCCACCCTCTTAATACCCCATGTTTGGCCTTTACAAAGCTTCCTCTGTTGACCATTTTCATCAGTTTGGGGATCTTTATTTATTGTTTTAGTATATATTTAAATATTAATAATATTTTAATATTTGTCTATTGACATATTTTCTGACACAAAATGGATCAGTTTCTTGAATAACCAGTCTACAGTTTAAAGAGGTCTTCCACGTAATATACATTTTGTTTAAAATACAGAGGTTTTCCAGGTATCATGGCACATGCCCGTGATTCTAGCAACTCAGGAGATTGAGGCAGAAGGACAGCAAGTTCTAGGCCATGCTCAGCAACTCAGAGAGACCCTGTCTCAAAATAAACAATAAAAAGGACTGGGGGGACGTTGCTCATTGGTAAAGTTCCGCTGGGTTCAATCCCCAGTATAAATATTACTGAGGATATATAAAAACATATATGAATAAATATATATATTTATACATATATATTTATATATAATATTATATATATATATGTATATATATATATATGCGGGGGGAGTGTTCCATTCTAGGTTTTCTCTTAAATGTTCTCCTTAAAATCTCTCTGTGAAAATCCACAATTATAGTTATATGATTATAGTTAATTCCTCTCTCAATAACTGGTAGACAGACAATAGACAAAGATATATAAGAACTGAAAACACCGTTGTTTGTGTCAGCTTTTTTTCACTGTGACCCAAATACCTGCTAGAACAATTTACAGGAGTAAAAGTTTTTTTTGGGCTCATGGTTCCAGAGGTTCAGTCCATACTCAGGTGACTCCATCACTCTGGGCCTGAAGTGAGACAGAACATCATGGTGGCAGGGCATGGCAGAGGAAAACTGCTCAGTTCATGACATCCAGGAAGCAGAGACAAGACACAACCCCAAGGTCATGCCCCTAGTAACCTGCTTCCTACCTCCTTATACCTACCACCTAATAGTCCACTCACCTCTCATAATCTAATCATTTCATCTCGGAACACTCCTGCACTGCACAACACATGAACTTTTGCAGGGGACACCTTATATCCAAACTATAAAAACCATCAAACAGCTGATTTTAATGAACAGTTACAGAACATTCTGAACAGCAAAATACACATTATGTACAAATATACATAGAACATTTACTAAAGTACAGATTATATCCTGTTTTAAAACAAACCTTAACAAATTTGAAATAATTGAAATTATATAAAATATGTTATCTGAAATAATGGAATTAATTTAGAAATCAATAAAAGAAAAAATATTTCCAAACAATAGAAATTAAACCACATTCTAAATAATCCTTAGTCCAAAGAGGGAGGTCTCAAGGAAAATTAAATACATATTTTAAACTGAAGGAAAATGAAAATATATGACGTTACATTTTGTGAAATTTAATTAAAATTCCAGTGCTTAAAAAGGAATAAAGATTCCAAGTCAATAATCTAAGTTTCTACAAAAAGAAACTGGAAAAGAAAATAAGCCCTAAACAAGTAGATAATTAACATAAGAGCATGTTAGTGAAATTGGAAACAAAAAAACAGTGCAGAAGAACATTAAAACAGAAAGCTTGTGCTTGGTGAAGAGCAATAAAACTGAGGAACCTGACGAGGAAGAGGAGGAGATGACTCAAATGAAAGAGGGTGTCACTTATTAAGACAATAAGGGGCAACTCAACTCTCTACACATAAATTTAACAATTTAGATGAAATGAGCCAACTCCTTGAAAAATAACAAACTACCAAAACTCACACAATGTGAAATGGATAATCTGAATGGTCCTCAACCACCAACCCCCACCCCCTCCCCCAAAAAATCTTTACAAAAAGTGAAATCTCAGATCCAAATGGATTCAATAAAGAATTCTACCAAATATTTAAAGAAAATTTCTTCTAGGATTACTGTGATACCAACACAAGACAAAGCTATATAATAAAAGAAAAATACAGACTCTTATACTTCGTGAACATAGATGCAAAAATCTTTAACAAAATTTTAGCATATTAAATCCAGCAATTTATAAAATGCATAATATATCCTGACCAAATGGGATTTATCATAAGAATATCAAACTAGTTCTGTATTTGAAAACTAACCAATGTAATCCATTATGCTAACAGTCTACAGAAGAAAAAAATGTGTGGACATATCATATGCTTATCACACATTGCTATATAAAAAGCTTTTAACAAACTCAGCATCTATTCATGATAAATACTTTCAGCAAATAAAGAATAAAAGTGTATTTTTATTAACTTAATAAAAAGACACCTACAAAAATCCTATAGCCAGCATCATACTTGGTGAAAAAATAATATTGTTCTCTTAAGGATAAGAGAATATCCACTCTCAACCCTCCCATACAACTTGCACTGAAAGTTCTAACCACTATGTAAGGCAAGAGATAGAAAGGAAGAAAAAGCAGACAATCTGGGATGGAGAAGTAATGAAAACAACATGTGCATCTATGCAGATTTTGCAGTTAGTTTTTCATTTTTAACCCTTCTTCCTAAGAAATATATGTGTCTTCTTTTTTCTTTCTTTCTTTTTTTTTTTTTTTTTTTTTTTTTTTTTTGCTGCTTGTCAGTTTTCATTCCCAGCTTGCAAGTTCAATATTCAGAAGAGCAAGGAAGGAACAGGAAGGGTGGTAATGTGGAAAATGGGAATCCGGAACAGCTTTACCATGGAGGCCACCTTTTGTGGATCTACTTTGGGTAAGGCCAAGTGTTCTCACTCACAGCTCCCAGAGCATTAAACCAAAGATATATATTTTCAACATAAAATTAATAGTAGTGGAGTTGATCTGGTAGTGAGCACATTCTTCCTATTTAAATGTATGCTGATGTCGATCTATAAGTGGAATGAATAAACTTCCACTATATGGTATTTCTATTTCATTCCCTTTGTTTAGAAAGGAATGTTTGACATGTTGTGCATAGAATAATTGGTTGTTTTGTAAACGAATCTTCAAATGCTTGTTTTTTTTAAAGAATATTTCTATATATTTTTTAAAAGGGGGGGTTCTGATTATTTGAAGACAAAGCAATAAACATACTTAAAAATTATAGAAATATTTTTATTGAATTTGCCCTTTGAAAGGCAAAAATAGACTACTGTGGTGTGTGTGTGTGTGTGTATTTATATTTAAAAGGAAACACTTGGGTCCCTGAACTAAAAATTAAAATGTGCTTTGTAGTCTCATTTAATAAATCTTTTAGTCACATCTAGCATAAGGTGTGTTCAAAATATTCTAGATTAAGATAATCTTTCACACTATTAGACAATATATCCACTCAAAGGAAAGTACTAGACATCCACATATGTGATTTCTGGATAATTTTTAAAATACCTTGATACTGATAGAACATTATTCATGATGATGAAAACATTCTCTCATAAAATCTTGACCCAAGTTTTTCCAGAATGACTACTGATACTGTTTATAACTGGTAACCAATATTACGTAAGTGTGTAACTGAACTTTCTTCTGCCTTGCAACATAAACTAATTTATGTTAAAATAAGGAAAAGTAACAGTTTAGTTTAGTTTTTTTTTTTCCTTTCAGCAATGGAGTAGATTGTTTTCTCTTATTTTTAACTTTAATGTGGTAGGCTGTTAAATGACCTGTCCCAGAGAGGAAAATCCAAAAGACAGGATATGGAATCAAATCAATGTTTGTTCATACCCTTACATTTTAGACCTGCTTGCTAAAGAAAAAAATGATTTACTCATCCTCAAGGGTAGATAAACTTATTGATGTTTTAGGTAATAAACGAGGCACTCATTTCAGCACAAAAGACTTGGAGTCAATGGGCTACCATTTTTGTGATTCTCTCTTGGACTATTGTGATCCCGATCGGAGCAAGGTAAGCCAAGAGCGCTTAATAAAGCATCAGATTCTAGCCTATCAGATAACACATCGCCTGTCAACCTACAGCAGTTTTTTCCTTTTAATGTCCTAAACCCATGGTCTGGGAGTTTTGTTATAGTTTGTTTGTTTGTCTGTCAGATTTAATGTCCCAGTAACTATTATTCCAGGTGTCTATAAATACTCAATTAGTTTGATTAGGAAGAAAAAAAAATGGTTTTTGGCATTAGGGATTGAACCCAGTACATGCGAGGCAAGTGCTCTACCACTGAGCTACATCCCCAGCCCTTTCTTAATATTTTATTTTATATTGAGGCAAAGTTTGGCTAAGTTGCCCAGGCTGGCCTCAAACTTAACAATTCTCCTTCCTCAGCCTCCCAAGTATCCAGGATTATAGGCATGTACCACTGCACCCAGCATGAAGCAAAATTATTTCATAGTGAACTCATTTATAATTTTTCTCTAGTATTATCAGTGCCTGAAAGAATTAGAAGAAATGGAAAAACGCATGAGTTTGGAAAAAGTCTGTGATGATTCAGATACTTCTCTAATAGAAATTACATTGGATCTAGAGTCGAGATAAGTCAATATTTTTGAACTAATGTAATTTGTTGTATCGTTTTACCATTTTCTTTATAATAATACTAGGATATTATTGTCAATTCCACATTGAAAATTTCAACTATAAGCAGGGGGCAAATTTTTCAGTGCACCTGATTTTGACCAGACCACATCAAGACTTCAGTTGAATTATTCTTTTATTCCAGTGAGCACTGCTATGCACAGTGTACTTTATGTGAAAGACATACCAAATTGTTTTGTTTGCTTTCTCTCTTTTAGACTTTGTTAAAGCATTTTATGTTCACAGCAAAATTGAGTAGAAAGTACAGATTTTCAAAATATCCTCTACCCCTACACAAGCATAGCCTTCCCCATCACCAACATCCCCCACCAAAGTGGTATATATGTTATCAATGATGAGTTTACGTTGATACATCCTTATTGCCCAAAGTCCATAGTCAACGATGGTTCACTTTGGGTGTTATATATTCTATATGTTTGGACAAATTTATAGCAACACATATCCATCATTAAAGTATCATACAGAGTATTTTCACTGCACGGGTTCACTCCAGAATTCACCTACCCTTTCCTGCTCTCACCCCTAACTCCTGGAAACCTCAGATCTTTTAAATTCTCTCTATAATTTTGTCTTTTTTAGGATGTCCTTTAGTTGGAATTATACAGTATACAGCCTTTTCACTGGCTTCTTTCAATTTGTAATATGCATTTAAGTTTCATTCATATCTTTTCATGGCATAATAGCTCATTAGCACTTGAAATATATTATTATCTGAATATACCACACTTTACCCACTCACCTACTGAAGGACATCTTGTTTGCTTCCCAGTTTGGGCAATTATGAATAAAGCAGCTATAAACATCCATGTGCAGGTTTTTCTGTGTATGTAAGTTTTTATATCCTTTGGGTGGATAACAGAGAGCATGAATGTCAATGTAAGAGTATGTTTAGGGTTTTTTCCTTTCAGAATTGGAGTAGATTGTTTTCTTTTTATTTTTATCTTTAATGTGGTAAAAACAATTAAAAAGAGATCTACCCTTATAACTTTAAGCATATGCTAAATGACTATTAGTAAATGCTGTACAGCAGAGCTCTGCAGTTTATTCAACTTTCTTAACTTTTATATCAGTTGGTAATTCCCATTTCTCCTACTTCAGCTCCTGGTAACCATCATTCCATTCTTTAATTATATTAATTTGACTATTTTACATATTCCACAGTAGTGGAATCATTCAGATTTGTGTTTCTGTGACTGACATTTCACTTAGCATAATGTCCACAGGGTTCATTCATATTGTAACCTATTGGAGTATTTCCTTCTTTTTTAAAGCTGGGCAGAATTCCACTGTATTACATACCACATTTTGCTTGTCCATTCATCTTTTGATAAATATTTGAGTTGTTTCCACATCTTGGTTATTATGAATAGTACAGCACTAAACATGGGAGTGCTGATCTCTCTTCAGGCTCTGGATTTCAATTCTTTCAGATAAGCATCCAGAATTAGTTTTTAAATCATATGATAATTCTATTTCTAGTTAGGTGAGGAATCTCCATACTATTTTCACTAGCAGCTGAACCATTTTGCGTTCCCACTAACAGAGTGCGAGGGTTCTGATTTCTCTACATCTCCACCAACAGTTGTTGTCTTTTGTTTCTTTAATAATGGCCATCCTAACAGGTAGGAGGTAAAATTTCTTTGTGGTCTTTATTTTCATTTCCCTGAATACCTAAGTACTTTTCATATGCTTGTTGGCCATTTCTCTTTTTTTAATACTTATTTTTTAGTTGTAGTTGGACACAATGCCTTTATTTTATTTATTTATTTTTTATGTGATGCTGAGGATCGAACCCAGGGCCTTGGGCGTGCTAGGCTAGCGCTCTACCGTTGAGTCTCAACCCCAGCCCCCTTGTTGGCTATTTCTGTGTCTTCCTTGTTGAAATGTTTATTCAAGTATTTTGCCCATTTTGGTGATTGGATTTTTTTTAAAACCCCTCTTAGGGCTGGCAAAAGGGAAAGGCCACTACAATTGGATCCAGTTAAGGCTGAATACTATCTTTTGAAAATGGAAGGGTCAGTCTCCTTTCATTCTTCTGCATGAGATTATCCAGTTTTCCCAGCATTATTTGTTAAAGAAACTATTCTTTCTCCCTTGTATATCCTTGATGCCCTCGATGACTATCAGTTTACCATATATGGGCAAATTTATTTTGGATCTCTAGATTCTATTCCAGTGGTCTACATGTCTGTAGCTTTATTATAATATAATTTGAAATCAGGAAGAATGATGCCTCCATCTTTGATCTTTTACTAGACAGTAAATGGGTTAAATGTAAAGTTAGGTTGTTTAATTGAGATCATTATTATGATTGTTTGTCACAATAATTTCCCCCAGTACTGCTTTTGCTATATCCCGTAAATATTGGTATGTTGTGTTTTTAATTTTGCTTTTCTTTAGGTATGTTTTTAATTCCTTTTTGACTTTTCCTTTGAACCAATGATCATCCAAGGGTGTACCATTTAATTTCTATTTATTTGTGAATATTTCAGTTTTTCTTCTGCTGTTGATTAATATTCCATTCCATTGTGATCAGCATGACACTTGGTATGATTTCAGTCTTCTTAAATTTGTTAAAACTTGTTTTGTGACCTAATATGATCTATTATGGAGAAAGTTCTTGTGCACTTGAGAAGATGTGTATTCTACTGTTATTGAGTGGAACGTTCTGTGTATATCTATTATATCCATTTGGTCTGTACTATCATGCACATCCTCTGTTTCCTTATTGATCTTCTGTTTGGCTGTTCTATCCATTATTAAAAGTGAGATATTAAAGCCTCCTACTATTATTATATTGCTATATATTTCTCCCCCTAGTTATGTCGTGTTGCTTTTATATATTTATATTTTATATTATATATTATTTATATATTTATATATTTAAGTACTCTGATATTGAGTGTGTTTGTTTATACCACAAGTTATGAAGGATATCTGTGTATCCATCATATCTTCCTGATAGATTAACCCTTTTATAATTACATAATGTTCTTTGTTTTTTGTGTTAGTTTTTAGGTATTTTAAAATTTTAATGTCTTTACAATAAAATAGTATAATGTTAATAGGCTAGACAGAAATTAAAAGAATGTGTGTGTGTGTGTGTGTATATATACATATATATATATATATATATATATATATATATATATATAAATAAACAAGAAATGATTGCTACATACACAAAGTAAAAGATAAACAATAAATGGAAAACTACAAAATAGATGAACTGATAATTCACAAAGGAGAAAAATAAAAAAAATTAATATATTGAAAGATACTCAACCTCACTATTAACCAGGGAAACGAAATAAAACAACAAAATATCATTTCAATTGTCTCGTGATAGTTTTTGATCTAAAGTCTATTTTGTCTGATGTAAGTACAGCTACCCCCATTCCATTTGGTTACTATTTGTATAGGATATCTCTTTTCTATGTCTTTACTTTCAGCCTATGTGCATCCTTAAATCTAAAGGGAATTTTTGTAGACAGCATGTAGTTGGGTATTATTTTTAAATCCATTCAGTCACTCTGTGTCCTTTGACTGGGGGAGTTTAACCCATTTACATTTAAAGTAATTATTGTTAGGGAAGGATTTACTGTTGAAATTTTGTTCATTGTTTTCTATTAGTCTTGTAGTGTGGTCTTTCCTCTCTCCAGATTCTTTTTAGTGCTATTATTACCCATGGAGAACTGACACTGTTATAGAGATGACATAAAAGGGCTATAATATTAGTGAATAAAAAAGTACAAAATTCAAAGCTAAGGAATATTGTTGGAAGAAGGAAGGCATTAATTTTAGAACAGTTTCTTTAGGAAAGATAAAACAATTGTTTTTATTTCTTTGTATTTATTTCTTCGTATTTCTACATTTTCAAATTCTGAAACTTCTACTGGTAACCAATACATTTGTTTGCAGATATTATCATTTTGAACTCATGGATTTGTTTATATTTGACAGGTTCTAATCATTTTCAGTCATTATCATTCTAATGTCAAATTTCCCCAAATTTGGTCAATAGAAGATCCTTTAAGTTGACCTGTGTCTTTTTGACATGACTGATAGTCATCATAAGATATTTAGGCTCATTCTCTGCCCTACAACTGGTATGTACCATTTCTCCAAGAAATTTTGATTCCTTTTAGTAATAAATATTATTTAGATAACATACATAGATAGTAGTTATTATTGCTATAGGTATTTTTCAAAGGTTTGAGTTAGGAAATAGTTTTTGGTTTATTTATTTATTTTTTGCACCAGGGATTGAACCCAGGGGTGCTTAACCACTGAATCATATCCCCAGCAATTTTTATTTTTATTTTGAGTCAGGGTCTCCCTAAGTTGCTTAGGGCCTCACTAAATTGCTGAGGCTGGCTTTGAACTTGCAATCCTCCTGCCTCAGCCTCCCAAGCCCCTGGGATTACAGATGTGCACCACCACAACTTGTGGAAATGGTTATTTTTAAGAGAGAAAAAATCATGAGCTTGTAGTTATATTTCTAGCAAGAAATTTAGGATTGTAAGATTTAGTCTTCCTTGATTTTATGATTGTATCTCATTTCTCTAATGCTAAAATTTTTCTATTAGTGCAGATATTTTTTTACTTTATCCTACAATATACCAATAAAATACCCAGTAAAATTAATATGATCTAGTTTTAGATTTCTTTGTAATTCTTTTTAGACTTAATGTATATATACTATATAAACTATATATTATATAGTATTAGTATATCATATACATAGCACTTGGGATATGCAGCCAAAATACTACTTTAAATCATTAAAAAAGAAAAATGACCAGGCACAGTGGTACATGCCTATAATCCCAATGGCTCAGGAGGCTGAGGCAGGAGGATGGCAAGTTTAAATCCATTCTAGCAAGGCACTAAGCAACTCAGTGAGACTCTGTCTATAAATAAAATATATTGGCTGGGGATATAACTCAGTTGGTAGTGTGATTGCCTCACATGAACAAGGCTCTGGGTTCAATCCCCAGCACCACGAAGAAAAAAAAAAAAAAAAAATATATATATATATATATATATATATATATATATATATGAAAAAGGCTGGGGATGTGGTTCAGTGGTTAAGTACCTCTGGGTTCAATTCTGGTACCAAAAAAAAAAAAGGAAAAATATATTTTTTTCTCTATGTGATTATGCCACCAATTTGACATATAGTTAAGTGCCTTTTAAAAAAAATTTTTAGAAATGCTTTTTCTCCTTTTGATTAAGTTTTTATTTTATAATTATATAATATTTACATAAGACAATCCAGTTTTCCTAAGTTTGTTTTACTTATCCTTTCATTGTTTTATTTTGAAAATATGAATAAATATCTATGTATTTTTCCTATCCCTATACCTTTATATAAAAGATAACATACTACCTGTACAAGCTTTTTCCTGTGCCTTGCTTTTTACGCTTATTATATCCTAGAAATCAGGATATTTATTCCTGATGCATGGGACTTCACAGTATAGCTCTACTGTAATTTACTCTGTCCTCTATTGATGGGACATTTGAAAACTGCCTACTTTTAAATTGCTTCTAAATAAGGATAAGAGATAAGAGGTGAGATCAAATAAGATAATGTATAAAAAATTTTATAGCATAATACTATAAAATACCATATAAGTAATATGTTTTAGCATGTGTTATCTGTCTAGAATAGCTTTTTTAAGAGATTCAGGACTTTGGGAAGTTGAGAATTACCTTGATTTTCTAGTGTAATTTTCATTCTACAGGAGTCTATAGAATGGTTTTTGAGTTTATAGAATTATTCTATGCTAATTATTTCTTTTTATAAACTTTGTAAAATCTGACAATAAAGAAAGCTTAGCCAGTTTGTAGTGGCACACACCTATAATACCAGTGACTCGGGAGGCTGAGGCAGGAGGATTATAAATTTAAAGCCAGCTTCAGCAACTTATGAGGCACTTAGCAATTCAGTGAGACCCTGTCTGGTAATAAAATATAAAGAAGGGTTGGAGATGTTGCCCAGTGGTTAAGCATCCGTGGGTGGGTTCAATCCCATTACCAAAAAAAGGAAAAAAGAAAGTTTCATTCTTGCATGTCCAGAAATACAACATGTGCTACTTATGAATGTATCCCCCTTTTAAAAGGGAACATGAAAAATTCAACATAATTTTTCTGGAGAAATGAAAATATTTTAAAAGAAAACTGAATTATTTAGCATATAGAAAGCATAAATCCAATCTGTGTTTAAGGAAGCAAGACCATAACAGTAGTAGTAGGCAAAAACATGTGAAGCAGACCTTACTACAATAAAAAGAATAATTGAATATTTTTTAAAAAGAGAAAATAAACATAAGTACCTGAAGAAAGTTTATAACTGGACCTGAGAAGCAAAGTAAAATAAATAAAATCTATTGAGGCTTAAGTTGCAAGTGCAGATACGCAGTTTTTCAAAAAAAAAAAAAAAAAAAAAAAAAACATTCTTTTTATAACTGCTAGGGAAAAAATGTGTTTCAAAAACCTAATAGAGAAAATTCTTTTATTTAAAAGTATTGATACTCTGGGTGTGGTGGCACATGCCTGTAATCCCAGTGACTCAGGAGGCTAAGGCTGGAGGATTGTGAGTTCTGAGCCAGCCTCAGCAATTTAGCAAGGCCCTAAGCAACTAGTGAGATCCTGTCTCTGAATAAAATACAAAAAAGGGCTGGGGATGTGTCTCAGTAGTTAAGTGCCCCTGGGTTCAATCCCTGGTACCAAAAAAATATATTGATGCATTTGATTTGTAATGGAAATTATTTCTTTATAAAGTACAATATTCAGTGGTACTAGAACAAATAATATTTTATAATTAGGTTATGAAATAGTAAAGCAAAGATAAAACAGCTTTGAAAGTTATCCTGCTTAATGACAAAATATTTTCTAGTGCACATTCATTCAGATACTGCTGTAAATATGATAAACTAGCTATGCAATTTCTTAGCCAGAAAGGGCAAATTTAAATAATTATAATAACAACATGTTTTAAAACATAAGTATGTATTTACCTTACTATATATATATGAAAAGATATGTACGTATATATCTATTTCTAAGATGCAATCCAGAAAGTTCTGCTTCTTATTTACCAATCTAACTATTTATCTACTTCTCTTGTCTTACTGCATTAGCTAGGACTTTAGTTTAGTATTGAATAGAAGTGCTGAGATGGGCCCTGCCTGTTATCTTCTCAGTCTTTACACAAAAGCATCTAGTTTCTCACCACTATCAAGCACTCAATCACTGAGATACATCCCCAGTCCCCCCAACCCCCCACATTTTTTTTAACAAGTCTTGGTAAGTTACCCAGGCTGGCCTTGAACTTGGAATTCCCCAACCTCAGCCTCTCTAGTATCTGGGACTACAAGCATGTATCACTGCATCCAGAAACAACGGAAATTTTAAAATGTCACCAAAATATTCTATAAACTAAAATTATTATTTTTGTAGTAGCCGAGGCTCTGACAGTTCGGAATCCAATGACTCTCAGACATATCTTCTGAAGGTAACCTCTCAGGTATAATTAAAATTTTTTGCTTAAAATACAGATATGCTATTTAGGTTACTCTTCTTATTGTGGCTAACAGGAAAAATGTTTGCAGTTATATAGTTATTACATAATAACATTTTTTTTCTGATTATGTGCATGTCTTTAAATAATAGAAAATTTTAAAAGGATGGACATAATATCTTTGTTTATTTTTATGTGGTGCTGAGAATTAAACCCAGTGCCTTACATGTGCAAGGCAAGCGCTCTACTGCTGAGCTATAATGGAGACTTAAATTGCAAGTGCAAATATGCAGTTTTTCAAATAAAACAAATTGTTTTTATAACTGCTAGGGAAAAAAATATGTTCCAAAAACCTAAATAGAGAAAATTCTTTTATCTATCTAGTCCAATAATATAATTTTTTAACTTCAGAGTTCTTTTCCTCATGCCCTTCATAGATAATAATGGTTAAGATCTAGAGAGATTAAATTACTTCTCAAAAACCACACCACTTTTTAGTTAAAGAGGTGACAGCCTGCATATATATCACCTGATTATGAGCCAAATATTTATTTATACATTGATTACTCAACTGCATGTTATGCTCCAACTACAGAGTTGTAGCACCAGGCACTGTCTATGTGTGGGGATAAAGCAGGGAACAAATGAGACAAAAATCTTTTCCTTTGTTATTTTATATTCGGGTTTGAAGAGACACACAATAAACAAGATAAATAAGTAAAATATATGACATGTTATATGGGGATTGGTCCCTGAGGTGGAAATTACAGCAAGAAGAGGAATAAGGAGTTTAGGTGAAGATTGCAGTTGTGGAGGGGGTTACCTCCAAAAGAAGTGATTAAGGAAGTGAGAGAGCAAACCAAGCAGATAGTATGTAAATTAGCCACTTTCTGCATGGCAAACAACTTCAAAACTTCAGTGACTTAAAATAAACTTACTTTTAACTGATGGGTCTGTCGGTTGGCTCCACTAGACTTGGATAGGGTCAACTGGTCTTAGCTTCAGGTTGAGTCCAGTGACATTTCACGTTTCTCATTTTCCTTTGATCAGAGATTATGCAAGGAAAAATACATTGGTGAAAACCCAGTAAGTGGGACAACTAATCAATATAAGCCTGTTTATAACTACATTTTCTCCTGGCAACCATGTATCATATTACAACCACACCTGATAGCATATTCACTAACATTCCATTAACCATTATGTCGTATAACGAGGCCCAACATCAACAGATTAGTGACGTATACTCCATTTATAGTGGGAGACGCCACAAACTTACATGGTAAAGATTGGGGAATATGTATTCCTATTATAGAGGAGTAAAAAATTGGAAATAACAATCCAACATTCCAGAGTTCACCTTTTGGATATCTAGGGTAGTTAGTTGTACTTTGTAGGAGGAAAAGGGACAGGACTTCTCCTTCTTCTAGGAAGTAAGTCTTAAGATAGTTTTATGTCTGTATGTATATGGTTGTTGATGTGTTGATTATATATTGATTTTAATATGAATATTTTTCTTAGATAAAAACCAAGAAAAAATGTCTGAAAACAAAGAAGGAAAGGAATTCTACCATGGCAAGCTACCAGAGTGCCAGAGAAGAGGTAAGACTTTATTAATGTAGTTGTTAAGAAGTTTTGGGGTTTTTTTAAATGAATTCAAGAGAATGGCAAGTTATTTTTTCTTATGCTTCTTATACCACAATTTTCCCCAGGAAAGGTTGATGATTAAAATTTTGCTCATCCTTGGCAGATGAAAGACAGGAATTATTAAAGTGCCATATTTAACTTTTGTATATATTTACCTTACTCTAAAAATATTTGAGGAAGTTTGGAAGATGCATCCATGACAGCAAGAAGAAAAAATTAAAACTAAGAAAAACTAAATGGAAATATAAGGGGAAAAAATAGTGCTAAAATATTGATTTCTATGTGACAGTATAAGGAACTCAACAAATCCATTTACCAGCAAAATTCTCAAATACTACGTAAGAAAGAATGAACAAGTATCTGGAATGGTTCAACGAATGCAAAAACAAAAAACTATTTAAGGAAATTATTAAAATCCATTGAAAACAGCAAAAGCCTCCCATATTTTAATTCAGAGTCCTTCCTTCCACATCTCTCAGCTTAATAAGACAGATTAGCTCAGCCAAGGAAATTGCACCCTTTTTTCCCACAGCCATCAGAAGGCTACTTTCCCAAGACAGGCAGGACGTCAGTATTTTTATCCTGCCTCCAGCTACCTATTGCTGAGCTAAGTTCCAGGTAATTACAAACAAAAGGTAGGAGCTCCCTTCTACCCAGACCACCCTATTCAGGGGATGGAGGTTTTACCTTGAGTGCTACACCACTAAGAATACTTAGACCCTGATCACCTTGCCTTGGCTTATAAAGTGGTGGTACCATATTAGAGAAAAACAAGTGGAGAGGCCTGTCTCCTACTGTGCAGCTCCTAAAGCAGTGGTAGTAGTCAGAAGACTGCCATTGTCTCTATCCTCAGTCTCATATCCAAGGCTTGAACATTTTTTCTTAGGTAGAAGAACCAGGCCAAAAACCAGATAGCTTCCTAATCTCTTCCCAAAAGAACTGACTTCAAATGCAACACAGCTTAGGGTTCAAACTTAAGGACATTCTGAAAACCAGCAGAAGTATGGTAGAAAGCAATTGAGAGAAGATTGGTGGATTCATTGCAGTTGTAAGCTAAACTGACTTGGAGAATAGACAGCTGGGAAGAACAACACCGCCTTCTGCAGCCATGCCCCGGCTCCCTACAGTTACCACCTGTCAGTCTATTCCAACCAGGATGCACCTATTAGGTTACAGCTCTTGTAATCCAATCATTCCACCTCCAAATATTCCTGCATTAACAGGTGCTTTGGGGGAACACCTCATATCCAAACCTTAACATTTTTCCTCACCCAGTGTTAGCATCTGCCATAAATCTACTGGACACCATGAAACTGACACTGGTACAGTCCACAAATCTTATTTAGATTATGAGTATGTGAGCATTCATTTGTGCACCAATGCATGTCCATGTGTGTACATATGCATACAGTTTTATGTAATTTTATCACATTTATGCTGCAACTATAACCACATTCAAGATACAGAATTTCTCATCACCACAAGGCACCCTCATGCCACTACTTTATAGCCATCCTTGTTCCCTTTCTACATAATTTTAACTCCCAGTGTGTTAGCTTTTTGACATTGGGGCCAAAATACCTAACAGAAACAACATATAAAATAGGAAAAATTTCTTTCAGCTCACAGTTTCAGAGGTTTCAGTCCATGGTCAGCTGGCGCCTTGCTCTGGGCCTGAGGTAAGACACCATTGGCAGAGGACATGGTGGAAGAAAGCTGGGACATGGTGGTGGGAGGACAAAATAAACCTTTCCAGGGCCCACCCTGAGTAACTTGCTTACTCCAACTAGATCCCACTTCCCAATAGTCCATTCAGCTATTAAATGGATTAATCTACTGATGAGGTCAGAACCAATCATTGCCTCTAAGCCCCACTTCTGAACCTTGCTGTGTTGAGAACCATGCTTCCAACATGAGACTTTGTGGAACATTCCAAATCCAAAACAAAACACCTGGAGACCATCAATCTATTCTAAATTCTAGAATTACATTATTTCAAGAATGCTGTTTGAGTAAAATTTTAAAAGTCTTTGGTAAACAAGCCCTGTAATTGTTCTGTGTTATTTGCAGGTATGTGTAATATCCCAAGGACATATTTATTTAGTTCTCATAAACACAGCCACATAGTGGTTTTTCTCATTTATCCAAGTTATATTTAATGCAAAATATGATATACTGCTTTATATTGAATGCACATGTATTTGATTTATTTTTTGATTGGAGCTTTTAAAAACTATTTTGAAATCATAATCTATATTTAATGTTGAATATTTTCAGATGGAAAATAATTATCATTTGGCCAAATACTTTTAGAAAGTTGCAGACCATTCTAAACTTGCCCATGATATAATAGGAGTTCATAGTCACTACCTGGAATTTCTTTTCTAGTTATCATTGACAAAAAGAGTGAACAATCTTTAACTGAGGTAAATGACTGGAAGACAATGTAATCCATGATTCTGAGCTTACTATTTCTTAATTGTTTGCTCATAAGACATCAATATATTCCTAAAATAATATTAGTAAGGTATTTTTTAAATACTGTAGTTAACTTTATTTTCTACCAAGATACTTTCAGTCATTGATTTTGAAAAGTTTCAGCAAAAATCATTATAAATGACTATGGTTAAGAATCAAAGGTTATGTTTCAAGGATCACTGGCCTAGTGATATTTTTCTGTGGGATGAGTATAATAGTTTATTATGGCTTGCACCATCATTTCTCTAAAGAGATGAGATTTAGGGCTGGAGCTGTGGCTCAGTGGTAGAATGTTTGCCTGGCATGTATGAGGCCCTGGATTTGATCCTCAGCACCACATATAAATAAATAAACAGATCCATTGACAACTAAAAAATTATTTTAAAAAAAGAGAAAGATGAGGTTTAAAAATGACACCAAGAGTTCACTGAATGAAGTCTTATTACAAGTGAATTCTCATTAGCCAGATTTTACCACTTGTTTCACCAAATTCTAACAATTACATAATATTGCTAATTTTTGAGTGATTTTCTCTAGAATATATAATTCTTTCCCCTTTTAATAATTAGGTTTTGATTTTTACATTTTCACTCATTTCTACTTAGTGTCAATTTTTGGCTTTGCTGGCAGTCAATTATATCAACAAAGAAGTTGACTTTAGATTTTAACTCTATTTTATGTTTTTGTTTGTTTTGTGGGGTTTTTGCTTGTGGTTTTGATCTTTGATACGGGGTTTTGCTATGTTGCTCAGGCTGGGCTCCATCTCCTGGACTCCAGTGATCATTCTTCCTCAGCCTCCCAATAGCTGGGACATGTTGGGCTTCAACTCTATGTCATGGTCTGTTTTGACTGACTAGTTGATATGCATTACATGTTGGCAAAATGTTTTCAGTTCCTTCTTTCTTCCTCAAACACTTTTCGAAAATTATTTATAACATCCAAACATACAGATAAAGAAAAAACTTTGGAAACATTTAAAATATTTTCATGGTCTCATAATGATATGTAGACTCAATATTACAGTCACAATTTCAGTATAAGTCTCTTTGAGTACACGTGGGTCATACTGGCACCTCCTTTCAAGATAGAAAGCAGTATCATATCTTCATGCTCTTCTTTTCTCTGGACTTCTTTATGAGATTCAAAAAACTATTCTTTATCTGTTGTATATAAGCACAGTTTAGCAATGTTTATAGATTTTCATATAATTTTGTTTACTTTAATCCATTTCAGTGTTTCTAATTTTAATTTAAATAAGCGATGTTATAACCACACTTTTATGTCTCTTTCTCACTATATATGTTCTATATAGAGTGAAAATTTTCTAAACTCCCTTTAGCACTAAAAAAAAAAGATTTTATTTTATTCATTGATGTAAAAGAAGAGTCATGTTGTAAAAGGTATTGAAGGTTCAGATTTCTGACATATTTCTGGCCATTTTAAACCTAAAAAATAAAATGAGAAATGTTTTTTAAAAACCCATCATATCATAAATCATATAGGAAATAAATATACCTCACTTTCATGTTTATAATATAGTATTGTTTTCCTTCTGATTCTCTATTCCATTAGGTTTATGGTAGAGAACATGTACTGCAAAAACACAAAGAATCAAATTCTGATGTGAAAGGTAATGTTCTGCTTCACCTATAAGTGATTGATTCATTTACTCAACACAGTACTTTTGTGCCACAACTTTGAGGTTGTGACCGTGTTTGGTGCCAGAGGTATTAAGAAGGATAGAGTGCCATTTCTTTCCTGCAGGAGTTGTCTTTTAATCAGAGAAGAAAAGCAAGTAAACAAGCACCAGGTTACAGGTGCAATGGCAGGAATTTGTACAGGTCCCTAGGGAGCAGACAGAGCAGTGGTCAGTTACATGAGAAGACAGAGATTTTTGAGGGATATCCCAAGGTTTTGAAAGGTTTTCCCCAAAGAAGATATAGGGATTTCATGTTTTAAAAACCATATTCTTCCTGAGATCATAGAGGTTAATCTCAGGAGAGAAATTAAATTAATAGACTTTATTTGCTTCTGCTACAAACCACTGTCTGATGTGAATCATTAACTATTAATCTAGCATCTCTGGTATTTTTTTCTTAATTTCTATTGTATTACCTTTAATTGTGGTCCTTTGGGGAAAAATATAAGTAATACTTAATTTTATCCAAAACAATTGCTTAATTGTATGTGTATATCTATTAATATATTATAAATATATACACCACACCTATTTCCAAAAAGGATTTGAGGTAACCTAATTAAAATATGCATTGCATATATGTATATATAATACTCATATAATATCTATATTCCATATCCATATATCCATTGGAAATAGCAAATTAATTTAAAAGTAGAATTGGAGATAAAAACCACACCAAGGACACCAAGGAGAGAATTAAGTCTATTATAATTAATATAGTTAATTCACTTCAACTTTGTTCTTTCTAGTATTGAGCAGTCACGCAATTCAGCTTTTTATGTGTAACTTTTATATATGCTTTTAAAAAAATGTGATATCAAAAAGTAGAACACTTGCCTAGCAGGGATGAGGCACTGGTTTCAATCCTCAGCACAGCATAAAAACAAATAAATAAATAAATAAGGTATTAAAAATATTTTTTTAAAGTAAAAATAAAGATAAGTGAAAGAGCCAGGCGCAATGGCACACACCCAGCAGCTATGGAGGCTGAGACCAGGAGGATTGTGAGTTCAAAGCCAGCCTCAGGAACAGTGAGGCGCTAAGCAACTCAGTGAGACCCTGTCTCTAAAGAAAATACAAAATAGGGCTGGGGATGTGTCTCAGTGGTTGAGTTCCCCTGAGTTCATTCCCTGATACCTGCCCCTCCCCACCCCCTGCAAAAAAAAAAAAAATAGATACGTGAAAGAAAGTAAAAAATCACATTTTAGGATATTTATTTGAGACCTTTTTCTGTATTTATATGCATAAACTTCATGTAAATGATCCCTGGCATGTTAGGATTTAAGTCAATGCTTCAACATAGGGGAATATGAAATAGTCTTTTTGTTGGTATCCTTTACAATTGTTACCTGATTAACTTTCTTTATCTCTCCCCTACCGCATCCTGGAATCCTTTGCAATTAAATTAGAACATCTCGATATTTTTTTATCAAATTATATTAAAAATCTAAGCAAATGATAAGATACCTCAGTGTTCATGGATAAGAAAATTTAATACTATTAAGGTGACAGTATTCCCCAATTGACAAATAATGTGCAATCCCTATCAAAATCTTAGTTACACAGAACACTAAAGAAAGGATTGAAGAAAACCTCAGAAGATGGAAAGATCTCCCGTGCTCCTGGATAGGCAGAATTAATATTGTCAAAATGGCCATACTACTAAAAGTTTTCCTGCAGCTCTCAGCAGCTAGCTGTCCTCAGCATTACCAACTCTGGCTACTGGCAGATTTTGGTGCTAGCAAACTTTCAGTGCAACCCACTCTATTTGAGATAAAAATCATGGATAGGCAAAACAAAATCATTCAAAAGAGACTTTATTAGGACCTTTACTACAGCATAAGGAAAGTAGTACATAGACCTATCCTATAATGGGAAAGAGAAGGCTGCTTATACAGACAAAAACTGTGGGCTCATGAATGCACATAGCATTCTGCTGGTGAATCCCAGAATTTCTGGTTTGTTTTAGATAGGGAAGGGCCTTCTCACAGAATAGAGTGGGGACACTTGAACCAGCTGCAGAGGGGTGCAGTCATTTAGAGAGGCTGTGGGGGCATAGTCATCTGGGATGGACTCACTATTAAAACTTGCATGATTAAGGAAAAAGTCTTCAGAACAAGTTGTGGAAGTTTCATGTAACTGCAGCCTGCTACAAGGTATTTGGAGCAGCCATAGTTGTTAAAATGAAAGAAAAGGCAAAAGTATTTCTTGGAAAACATCAAGTCCTTCTGTCTCAAATGTACTTCAGGGTGTCTAAAAATAATGGACATTTTAGATACAGACATCTGTGTGATAGACAGACACAAAGTGCCTGAACAACAAACAGCTAATCTGCAAAAGCACATCTGAAGATACTAAACAGATTGACATTGAAATTCCTGCTGTAAGTAATAAGTAAGATCCTAAGTACTGCATGATCAAAACATTGTTGTTTACACTATATCTAACTTGATGTCATTACCATGGACTGGCCAGTATCAGTCTAGTATGGACTGGATAAGAGCAGGACTACAAGCCAAAAGGAATTTGATAACCAGGTGCAATGGCACGTGCCTAAAATCCCAGCAGCTCCGGAGGCTGAGGCAAAAGGATCACAAGTTCAAAGCCAGCCCTGGCAATTGAGCAAGGCCCTAAAAGCAACTAAGCAAGACCCTGTCTCAAAATAAATTTTTTTGGGGGGACTAAGCCACATCTGTATTTTATTTAGATAGGATCTCATTGAGTTGCTTAGCACCTCACTTTTGCGAAGGCTGGCTTTGTACTCACGATCTTCCTGCCTCAGCCTCCCAAGCCCCTGGGATTACAATTGTATGCCACTGTGACCAGCTCAAAATAAATTTTTTTAAAGAGCTGGTGATATTGCTTAGTGGTTAAGCACCCCAGGTTCATGTACCAAAAACAAAAAGCAAAATAAATAAATAAATAGATTAATTAAGGAATTTGATGTTTGTGTGAATTCCATTTTACCAATACATAAAAGAAAGAAATGATATTCTAAAGGCTATATGCAGCTAAGAGAGGTATTCTTGGAAAATGAAACAGCAAAAACATTCTGCTGTATCATGGGAAAGAAAAAAAATGTCATTGTTAATTTTTATTCAATATAGATGATATCTATTTAATTAGTCTCCATAGATTTACATTCAACTTTTTAAAGACTATATACAATTCTATGGCCTATAAAATTTAAATATCTGATAGAGTTAAATTCTATAGCAAAGGAAAGGAGAGAAACTTTGTAAAATATTCTACTTTCTCATACATACTATTTGTTTAATTGTGTTAATAACAACTAACTGCCTTTTACCTATTATATTGTTTTGCTTAGTGTGTATTATTAGCAAAGCAAATGATATAGAATGATATATAAATTTGAATACCTATTTTATCTTAAAATAATAAAGTACTGTGTATAGTTATTTATTACATTAATGTACTAAATTGTGGGAGGTCTGGTATGTCTGTGTCCTGAATTGGCTCTCTAAAAGGTTGGCCTCATTAGTGAACATGTAGATAATCTTCATAGATCCAAGCATACTCAATTCTGCATTGTTAGACAGTTATTAGTTAGGTATTTGTACTGTTTGCTATTCTCTGGAAACAGTTTAATCAAAAGGCTTCCCGAGGAAATATGTACTTTTATCTTTTATATACCTGAATGAAACAATAGTGGATTAATTGAAAATAATCTCAATTAAGCAAGCATTAACCATGTAAATGAATTGACAAAAAACTATTATATTTTGTTGATCTTAATACCTAAGCAGATATTTTATGGTATATTCTCTTTTACAGTGAAAATACCTGGACAAGCTCCTTCTTGGCTTCTAAAAAAATATTTAAGGTAGGAAAACTTATACTTGATTTCTTCTACCTAACTATCTTACTCATTTTCCTCTTTCTTATAAGATTTTGGTTTTGAATTAAAGCAACAGGTTAAAGTGACTTTCCGATAACCATTGCTAATTGAATATCTCCTTATATTCAACACAGTACCTATGACTAGGTCACTTTCACATATATATGCATATATATACACATATATATACACACATATATATATATACACACACACATATACACACACACACCCCCATAAGATGGGTACTTTGAAGGTTTCTAAGATTTCAATATTGCCAAGCTGTCCCCAGTAGTTGCCTTAAATTCTATAGATATTTATTTTTATGCACTCATTATTTAAAAGAGAAACTGAGTTTCTCTTTTAAAACCAATATCTCTGTCATAAGTTAATTATTTAGAGTTTTAGAAAGAATGAATAATAATCAAATGTTTTACTCTGTATAGTGGCAATTGGAGCATTGGTCACTGAGGCAAAAACTAGTACCTAAAAACTGAAAGAGGAATAGAAAGGGAATTCAGAGATTACATAAACCAACTATGTAGTTTTGTGTGTACCAGCAATTATTCTATCTCTATCACCCTTGGCAAGTTTCCCTATCCTTTAGAATAATGATATAAACAAATATCTAGATAGTGAAATAGGTAGTCATAGGTAAGCATTTGAAAATCACCTGAATTTTCACAACAGAGTGACCATGACCATGGTATGTTCTTTCTCCTTTCCTTGGTTTCTCCCCTAAGAACTTGGTTGCTGCTAAATAAAATAGGTTTTAAGGAAAAACAGAGACTTGACAAAAAATGCCTTACATATTCTAAGACCAATATATGAGGCACCTTTTGGCATATCCATAATTGTATATAAAATTAATTCTTTTACACTAAGATTTAATTTTTAAAAATATCATTTATCATATCTTTATTATACTCTATGAAATAAATTGAATGATACATTAAGATACGAGAAAAAGTACTGTAGATAGAAGGTATGACTTCTAGATTTGCCTCTGCCTCCTATTAGCTGGGTGATCTTGAGCAAATAGTTTAACCCTTTTGATCTCCCTTATGTAAGATTAGATATACACACATGTCCATATATTTATGTATATATACACACACTTTGCATACTCTGGGGTACAATATACCAATAGAACAAGGCAGTACATTACTCTTGAGTGGGTAGTTTGCTGTTTGAAATTGAGATCACAGAACCCAGTTTCTTTCAGCTCCCAAAATATGATTCAGAGTTTTAGCAGAGACAATCGAAGATATTTTCTAGAAACCTGTGAGAGGCCAATCCAGGAAATAATTCAGCCCCTGGGAAATCGTTTATATGAAAACTGTTTCAGAGTGACGTCCTTGAAGTTTCCTAGGAGCCAACAAACATCAAGTTGGATTGAAAAGACAAGGATACGAACAGGTTTTTAAAAAATTATTATTTAGTATTTTAATCAATATAAAGATGACTTATACTATATTTTCATTAGTAAATTTATGAAACCTGGATTATGGAAACTGCTTTGGTAAACAGAATGGATTAATAACCATTTTTGTCCTGTCCCTGAAAATACTTGCCTTATTTAATCTTCATATGAGTTAAATTTAGAAGAAAAATATTTCAGTTTAATACAGCCTTGAAAAAAATTTTAATTATCTTATTTGCAATAACTCCCTGCTATTGATACCTTTCATCCTCACTTTTCCCCCATAGGGATTTTTTTTTAATGCCACCACCATATTCTGGTAGCTTTTGCTTTCCAGACCTGGAATTTTTCATTGGAAATCACCTTTATTCATGTCTCTTTAGAGTATCCCTACACTAATTGAAGACCATTGTAGTTCACAGTCTCTGTCTTGAGATGTGTCTATTCTAAAGCACCCCTATAAAGGGACAGAGAAGATTGGCCTTGTCCTGATTCTATCATGGTAATTCATGCTAGTTTAAGTTAGTAAAGCTAAAGTCAAATTCACCTACATTATTCATCCAGGTGAATCTAAAAATTATTATGCTGAATAAAAAGTCCAGATACATAATGGAAAAATGCTATATGATTTCATTATATGTAAGCAAGTTAACCTATAGAGAAAAAAAAACAGATAAAAGTTTCCTGGAGTAGAGAATGAATGGGAAATTTGATGCACAAGGAACCTTTTAGGGACAATCTATACTAGATCCTGGCTGTGATGATGGTTTCACAGGTGTTTATGAATTGAAACCTCATATTTTTGAGCCATAGCAACTAGCAGGATTGAGTTATTATCTGCTGATTCAGGGGGAAAAAAACTAAGAATGGAGCAGCAATTCAATTTGGACATGTTGCATTTGAAATGTCTATTAGATATTCAGTTGCACTATTGAGTAGGCAGAAGGATATGAGTCTGAAGTTCAGAGAGAGACCTAGAATGGGGATACATTTGGGAATTTTCAGCATATAGATACTATTTTAGGATAGATGCTGGATGGAATTCATAAGGGAATAGGTATAGAGATAGAAAAGGGTTAAGGACCAAGTTCCCAGGGAGCCCCTACATTAATGGGTCAGGAGAAGAACAGGAACCAACAAAGACTACTTTGGGGTGTGAGGTAGGATTTGAGGAATTCATAGAATGTGTTGTTCTAGAAGCCAAATGAGAGTCTGAGTCTGAGGCTTCTGACTGGTCAACTGCAATGGATTGACTATTGAATTTACAGCACTGAGGTTCTTGGGGATTTTAATCAGAGAAATTTCAGTACAATGATGGAGGTACCAATTCTAATTAAAGCATATTTTAGAACAGGAAGAGAGGAACTGGATGGAGACTAGTGGTATTTGTATGATTCTGCTAAAAAAGGAAAGTTATTTGTCCACTTTGGAAGGGTTTTTGCTGCTGTTGTTCCCTATTGCCTCCACCACTGTGCCTAATTAGCCTTATCCAGTCTTTCCTGAAATTAGCATCTCATCTTTTCTTGACTATTTTATGGACACATGTCTAATAAAATTCTACAATACTCTTTAACATTAAGTCAATTTCATGGAGAGCTATCTTCTCTTTGTATTGCCTCCCACTTTTCTAATAATATATGCATATAAGACTGTGTATTTTCCTCTAAAATGTTATGTCTTCATTATCACTCTGTTTCTTACAGAAGGATGTTTGTCTTTCCCCATTATTGAACTTATTAAGGAGGAAATGTCATGGATTGCTGTCAGAGATTAACGAAGAACCCAGTTAGACTTTAGTTCTGGAAGAGTTTATATTTAGTGATAAGATATAATACAAAAACAGAATTTCGGCTGCCAGGAGAGCATGGAGGAGGAGTAAATTCATGACAAATCCTGCAGATAGTTTTAGACCTAAGTCATTTCCCTTTGAACTTGGGAAACACAAATGTGACACCCTTGCAGTAGCCACTTTTCTACTCAACCAAACCCCAGAAGCTGGCAGGAAGTCACGGCACTCCAAGAATCTTGTCTGTTTTTTGGAACGTGCTTCACCTACACAGACTTTCTTGTTATTTTAGCTGTCTATAACCATGTCCCTAGTGCCATCAATGAATTCTAAATGTTGATCAATCCTAACAAGAAAACACATTATTGAAGCTAAGTAATGGATTTAAAGAGAGTTACCTATATATACTATTCTGCGTAGGGGGAGGACATTGAAATTTTTAAAAAAAGAAGTCCACAGTATATTTCCATAGTTTTCCATGACCTGTTCTCACCTTAACCCTCTGTCTATATTTTAGAGTATGTCTGTAGATTGTTTCTGTGGTCCCTTTGTTTACTTAGTAGGAATACTGCTTTTTCTTAGGAAAGATTTTTTTAAAATCAACCCATAGGAGTTTTACCTGATCCATATGCACTGAATTTAACAGAAATGTCTTCAAGTTTATAACATATGGAAACCCATCCCGACTGTTTTCTCATGGTAGACTGTTCCCTCTTTTTCATATTCTATCTCAGTGGGAGACTGAGACAGGAATAATCAGATACCTGTGGTCACATATCTCTCAGAAAGTTAAAATCTGGACATGTGTGAATATACAGAGCTGCGCATATAGGGGAGCTATATTGACCCAATTCCAAATGTAGGAATATAATTTACATTCCAGCTCTTGAAACCTAATCCACATCTCTAGCATATTTTCTCCATTCTTTTGATCTAATTTCCTTTACTCCAACCATGCTCTTATCAGTGTCTTTAAAATTTTTGTTTGCCTTTAGTAAGTAATAAGTAATAATTGAATAACTTAATAAGTAATTATTGAATAAATACAACTTATATATCTATTCATATTTTTCTGGTTGATCCCCAGATCTGCATCACAACTTAAAAAGCAAAGGTAAAGAATGTACGCCTGTCCAAAGTAAGAAGAGTGGCATAAACTGGACAGATGATGAAAAAAGAATCTACAGGGATAAAAGAATAGCTCAAACTCAAGAAATATTGCATTATTTGCTCCCTATCATGGAAACCCAAAAACCCATGGAAAACAGTCAGATAAAACAGTTATTCAATTCAAGAAGCAACTTCCAAATCCAACATCAGTAAGTCCATACAGTATTATCATTTGTAGCTTTTTTTTTTTTAGGTGGTGTTAGGAATCAAACCAAGGGCCTTGTGTATGCTAAGCAAGTGCTATACCCCAGAGCCACATCCTGTTCCTAAATATTTAATACATTCATTTATAAGGAAGCAAGGCAGATTAGTTCATTATTCTAAGCAACAATCCTGGATAAATAAATAGTCTTTGGAAAATTATATCAGCTACACCACATTTGACAAAGGGACAAAGAAAACACCAGGTATGTGAAGTTCTAAGTTATCAGGTCTTATTTGAATGGTTATTTGTATGAAATTACTCATTAATTTGCATCTGTGAATAAAGTATGCATAAATTATATGTAATCATATCCTGACTTGAAATTTTTCAGGTGTTTTTAAATAATTCTTATTCATTATGGTTCTTGAAACTCTAACCAGACCAATCAGACAAGAGAAAGAGATTGAAAATGATACAAATAGGAAAAGTCAAATTATCTGTTTGCTGATGACATGATCTGACATCTAGAAGACCCCAAAAAACTCCACCAGAGGACTTATAGAGATGATAAGTAAATTCAGCAAAGTATCACACAAGATAATAGGTAGCAAAATCTGAATTCAAACCCAGGCAGACATTCTGATTCCAGAGTCCTTCTGAACTTCATCATTATGCTTTGTCTTTTCTCTTTAAACATAAGTGAAAATCAGGACCAATATACCAAATACACAAAGAATGCCTATAAGTCATTTAGAAAATAATGGGTATTTTAATGTGAAAAGGGGCAAAGGCTCTGAATGAGGAATTCACAAGAGATAAAACACAGAAAATGAACATTTAGAAATGTTTGATCTCACTAAAATCTAAAGAGTGCAGATTAATACAATGATGAAATACCATTTTTACTTCTCAGCGGACAAATTTATTCATTGATTTCGTGAATATAAACAGAGTTTCTGGAAGGCAATCCAACAATATAAGTGGAAAATCCTTAGTTTCATTTCCTTTTCAATCCTTCACATTCCTTTCTTTCTTTCTTTCTTTCTTTTTTTCCTTTATGTGGTGCTGAGGATTAAACCTAGGGCCTCACACATGCTAACCACATGCTCTTCAACTCAGTTCCCATACATCCATTTTGACTAAAAAAATTCACTTTTAGAAATTGTAGCCTGCAGAAAAAGCCTGAATATGGTGTGATGCATGTGTTCAGTGTTGTTAAGAGAAGTCAAAAATAGAGATATGAAATAAATGCCCAAGAATAGAAAATTGCTTAAATAAATTATGGTACATTCATAAAATGAAATATTATATAGCTATTTAGTATCATACAGAATATTTAATTAATTAGCATGGAATGATGTTCCCAATAAGTAAGTGAATGAAATAGGATATATAAATCAGATAAACAGATTTGGTATGATTGCATTTATATGTATGTGCACATTCAAACACATACAAACCTACAAAAAGGCTCTGGGATCACATATTCCCATCAATGATTATCTCCTGATAACTAAAGTGTTTTTAGGGGATGGTAATCCTCTTTCAGTTGTTTTTCCCTAAATGTTTATTAATGGGTATTTTTTATGTAATCAATAAGATTATTAAACTGGGAAATTGAGGGAAGTTTCTAGTGCAATGGGTAGCAATCATCTTGGGGAAGGATGCCTGACAGGAATAGAGTCCAATAGGTCAGCTAATATGAGGTAAGCAAATTGTAGTGTTGGCCCAGGCAAACAAGGAATCCAACATGATAATATCAGCAAAATCACAAATTAGGAAACTAATAACAAAAATACAACACATTTGAGCAAAGAGGCTAAGAAGCTGAGAATCTAGAGGTGGGCAAGGGGTCTGGGTGACAATTAGAACATAACTTGATTTTTAGCTATATCTTTCATAAGAGATTCCTTATGTACTTTGAACCCAGATAGGCACTCAGTGTGTATTAGCCTGAGCCTGAAGGTATAGACATATACGAGGATGTATTAAGACCTCTCCATTTATACATATCAGAAACCAATTCAAACTAGCTTAATTAAAAAACATAAAGGAAGGGTGAAAGGGAAGAATTCCAAGAATTTACTAGGCTATTCATGGGAAGAAAAGGAGAGGGAATTCATCCAGGTTTCAGAATGTGGGTAGAACTGGGAGAGGAAAACTACCAGGGCTCTTTATCTATCTACAGTCTAGTTTTCCCTCTCTAGAAGAAGGGGGTACACAACGGTCAGCTCACAAATTTATATCCCGTAGCAATTTGACTTATAAGATTAACTCACTATCGTTCATTCCCACTTCTAAATTATAAGGAGAGAGAATCTGATTGGCAACCATGTCAGTGAATAGAGATCACATAATTACATACGTGGTTGTTGGAAGCCCTACCCTTGTGGACCTAGAGAGAGTCCCCTGAGAAGGGGAAATTGTGTCTGGGCTGGACATCCCCAAAAGTATCTACTTTAGGTTTACATGGAAATATAAAAAGCAGGAAAGCTGCAAATAAGACCATACTTAGCAAAGAGACTCTCAGTGTATATTTAAACATTATCAAACTGATAATCTTTGCTTTTATAATTTATGGGGTTTGTTCTCTGATCTATATATTCTCTATTTAACTTGCTCATCATTTTTACATAGTATTATCTATAGAAAATGATTACAAGATAAAGAAAGGATAAGTAAAGAATGAAAAGATCACACCTTTACTAAATTATCTTGGACATGAATCTAAGTTTGGACTAGATAGAGACTAGTTAATGTGTTGCTACAGCTTGCAAAATTATCATACTGAAGCATTTGACATCTGGGTGTAATTATAGAACTTGAACATAAATTGTTCTGCTCTTCAGCCAAAATAAATAAGGTCTAGGTGGATTACTAATCAACAGCATGTTAGCAAGATGATTTATATCCCTTAAATTTATGTAGAGTCAAATACTGATCAGAATTCAGATATGGAAGAATAAATTTCATGTTTTGCATTCCATTTGGCAATAATGAAAATTCTTGAGAAAGATTATATAAATCAGAAGGTAGTTGGAGAGATTTCACTCCAGATGAAGTAGACACATTATTCCAGTTCTTCTTACTAAAAACAATTAAAACCCTCAGATAATACATCTAAAACAAATATAAGACAACTCTGAATGGTTGAAAAAAAGGAAGGAGACTTGCTGGGGACTTCAGGAACCAAGTAATAACCCTGTGATCTGGGTTTCCTTTTTGCCTCATGAATTCAAGGTTTGAAGCTGAATAAGACCCCAATCTGGAAACACCAACAGGCACAGACACATGCACAAAACTCCCACAGAAGCCTAAACTGTATAACTAAAGAGCCAAGAAAGTGACAGCTAACTCAATAGAAAACTCTTAAGACAATAAGTTTTTCTACTCCAGACAAACACCACTGATAAACAGTGGTTGCACTGCCATCTATGTAAGTAGAAGCCATGTGAGAGGTGTAGACTCCTACTCTTATGAGGTATAACACCCCACTTAGGGTAGGATTTAAAAAGGACAAGTAGAAGCCAAAAACTTTACTCCACTGGCCTATAAAGAGCCTCTTCTCAGAAGGTATCACTGGAAACCACTAAGGAGCCTAGACTTCCACACCCACTGGACAGAAATGAGGTGCTCTTCTGCTCCCCATTGGGCTAGTATCAGAAGGGGCCTTTGTACCAAGACCCAGCAGCAATGAAGCAACCCCTGTCACTGGCAGCACAGGCAGCACAGAGGTTGGAACTGTTCAACAGAAATTAGGAACCTCTTCCCTCTGACATCAGCAGAGCCCAAGTGGGGACCTGGACTTCTACTTCCATCTAGTGGTAATGAGGTCTTATCACCCCACTTCTCTTGCTGGCACAGAGTCAAAAATCTAGCTAAAACAAAGTTTAAATAAGATCCAGAGTCTTATGATATGAAAATGTCCATGTTTTAATCAGGAATAAACCATCATTTTAAGTACCAGGACGATCCAACACTAATTTTAAGAAGACAATTAATCTTAAGAATACAATTAGCTGATATACCAATGTTTTAGTCAGCTTTTTTGTTGCTGTGACTAAAGGACCCAACCAGAACAATTTTAGAGGAGGAAAAGTTTATTTGGGGACTCACAGTTTTAGAGATCTTAGTTTATAGAAGGCCAGCTCCATTCCTCCAGGTTCGAGGTGAGGTGGAACATGATGAAGAGTGTGGCAGAGGTTTACATGGTGATCATGAAGTAGAGAGTCCACTCGCCAGATACAAATATATACTCAAAGCCACGCCCCAATTCCCACCTTCTCCAACCACACCCTACCACTTCAATTACCACACAGTTAATCCCAAATCACTGATTGGGTTAAGACTCACAATCCAATCATTTCTCCTCTGAACCTTCTTGCACTGTCTCACACAGGAGCTTTTGGGGGATCCCTCACATCCAAACCATACCAGTCTGCCCCAAAACCTCACAACCATCTCACAAAGCAAAATATATTTTTTCCATTTCTAAGAATCCCCATAGTCATCAGTTCCAAGATTTGCTCAAAGTTCAAGTCCAAAGGCTTCGCATTGTGAACTCCTGTAAAATAAAAAGCAATTTACAAGTATCCAATATTTAATGGTACATAGTAAACATTTCTATACACAAAATTAGGGGCATAGAAAGAAAGGATAGGACCAAACCAAGACCGAAATGCAGCTGGGCAAACAAGTCCTGTAGCTTCATGTCCTGCATGTGGGCATATGGCATCTTGATGTTTTCTCCAAAGGGCATGTGTAGCTCCACCCTTTGTTGCAGCCCAAGTGGCCTTTTGTTGGCTTGTTTCTGCTCAATTCCTGTAGCTGTCCTACTATGATGTCCAATGTTACTGGCATTTCTTAATCTCAGTAGTCTCCACTGCAGCTTCAGCTTTCTCCACACATCTCCACACTTTGACGTCTCAGGGGATGCCCACAGGGACTCCAGCCCTGTTGTACTTTTCCTGGACTTCCAGGCCTTCTTTTGAAATCTTGGTGGAA